AGAGAGAGAGAGAGAGAGAGGGGTAAGAGAGTGGAAACGGCACGGAAATGCGGCCATTGGCTAGAGTAAAACAAAACAACACAAATGACAGAAACCTTCAATCGGTTACACCTACCTTATCTTGGATACCAGGGTCGATCTCCTCAATGGGTTTCCCCAGCAACCGTAAAGGAAACCTGCCATAGGCTTTGGTAAGAAGGCAGCCTTCCCGCAGGTCAGCGTTTTCGGGAGGCAACTCTTCCTCGTCGTCGTCCATGCCGAACTTGAGCTCGCCATCCACCAGGTGAGCCTCGTGAGCGTACTTGGCCTTCTCCGCGGCGCGCTCCTTGAGGTGCTGCTCCCGCTCCACCAGTCGCTGATAGGACATCTTCGTGAACGGTTTGAAGGTGGCCAGCGGCAGCATCTCCTTGGGACCCCCGTCGGGATTCTCCTCCCCGCCATCTGCCGCGTTGTTCGTGGTCTGCGACTCGGGGGACGTCACTGTTGTTATGGCTTGTTCTCCCATATTGGCGGCGGCGGGCTGGCTGGCTGCTAGAAGTAGTAGTGGGGCTGCTGGTGGTGGTGGGGGTGGTGGTGGTGGTGATGGTGCGGATGGCTACGGCGGCGGTTGCCTGATGGATGCTCCTGGCCGGGGTGTCTGAGAAGTGGATCCCGGGCTTGGCTACGTTGCCACCGCACGCCCGAAGGAAAACGGGGCTCGGAAGTCTAATGGGAGGAGCAAACGTCGGACGAGCCGCCTAGCACTCGGAGGGTTACGTAAGGTCTCACATGGTCTCTTTTAGGAACATTGTCTCTACTGTTGAACATAGATTCTGTTTTCCTTACCCTGTCTCTTACGAATCAAGGGTGTGAATTAGTCGAGGTAATCTTATCCAATACTGGTAATCCATGTTCTGAAAGAATAAAAAAAATATACAGATTAGGCTGAGCTATCGTGACCACTGCCTATGATGCCTTAGCCCAACACCTTTCTCTTCAGACTCCTTTAAATACAAAAGAAAAAAATGGATCATCAATCAATTAAGAAACTCATGCACGAATTAGGAAAGATAATTGCTTTCCAAACAAACAAAAACACAGTAATGCAACACGCGTAGAGACAAAAACAAACGCAAAGAATAAAAACAAAACCAACAGCGTACTCACAAGAGAGCAACGTCAAGGTTGGTTTTTTTTTGGTAAATGTATTACGACGCTCGCAACTGCATTAGGTCATATGAGTGCGCGGGTGACATTTAACATTCTCAGTTGGTCGTTGCTTGGGTGGCGGCTAAAGTTACTCTATCGATTTTGGACCAACAATGGATCTTTAACGTGCGCAACTTGCGCGCGGGACTTCCAAGATTTTTCGCCTTTATCCAAGAAGGCTAGGTGTAGATCTTTCTTACCATAAGATCAGGAGTGTGGCTGAAACACAGCAGTAAGCAGGAGGCAAATAGTAGCCGTAGAAAGGCTGCAGAAAAAGGAGGGGACAAAGGAGG